TCTCTCTCTCTCTCTCTCTCTCTTCCGAAGATTTTGCCGGTAGACGATGGCGTTTGGGTGGGACTGTTTGTGATGGATAGGTAAAATGAGAGGGAGAGAGAAAGAGAGAGATTATTTAGAAAGACTTAAAATACATTCCCTGAAAGCGTCCGTTTGGTGATACATACAGTAAACGTCTTCTTCAGAACTGTGCACGCACAACCTCCCAGTCTTGACTCCACAAAGGTCTATTGTCACCTGATTATACACCTTTGTCTTAACTATTATATGGTTTCGTGGTGAACATTCTAAGAGTGAACGTGTGGGGTGACTGGAGAGTGCCACTGATAGGTTTACTTCTTTACTGTCCTTATGTTGGTTTGGTCTACTTATTTTGCCTTTTCCGACCATTAAATGACTTGTTGCCTATATTCAGTTCTTTTTTAAGTCATACCGAAAGTCGGATGGCCATAAGAAAGGATGTGATATATTTTACTCATGGTCAGCGCTCGCGTTAAATGGGGCAGTTCATGTAAAGACTTGCTAATTGCATTTAAACAAATCGGCAGCCAGTTAAGGCAAAATCTTTTTTCTAACGAGATATGTCTTTAAAGATGAAACATGTACCATACCTGAATTCATACTTCAATGACTTATTTTTTGTTTTTCTTTTTTATTCCTTCAGTCTGACATCAAAGGCAGCCAGAAGCGTCTAGTGGAGCAGCTGACCGCCCAGATCACAGAGTCGCCCGGTCCACCAACCCGCAAGCTGCTGGCCCGCTGTCTGGCTTTGATTTTCAGCGTGGGAGACACCTTTGATCTCTTCGAGACCATCAACAAGTGCAATGACATCATCAAAAACAAAGACGACTCCCCGAGTTACCTGCCCTCAAGGCTGTGAGTAATCGGCTAGATACGCATCTCCTGTTTTCATTGCAATATTGCGCTAATCGATTTGCATCTCACAGCCGAAATTTGTCCAGGATGGCTACCTGTTGTCGAGGGGAACAGTGGTTGTCTGAGATGGTTGGACGTTTTGGATAGTGTCTTTGTGATATTGCAACCCAAAAAAAAAAGATGCAAAGGGAAAAGTGGGAAGTAGTTATTTGCACAGGTGATTTATACAGTTCTTGAGGTAGGTGGCCATTAGCACTAGTTAATTGTACTTTGTAAGTCGGTTTTCAACATGATATGTATTCTCAGTGTCTCAGCCGTTGTTTTTATTCCGATATTTGTTGCAGTTTTCGTCTTGATATAGTATGACTTGATGCTTCAGTTTTCTTCTCAGTATGCATGTTTTATGTCTGTACTTCCTTCTCAATGTAATATACATCAGTTTTCTACTCCATATGGTTTAGAAAAAGATTGTATTGCCATGTCAGTTCAAGCACTTTGAATTTTTTGGATAATTTTTATATGCCCTCTGACAGTGATTTACATATTTGCTGTGACTTTTTCTTCCAGGGCGGCTATTGCCTGTCTTGGAGCCATGTATGAGAAGCTGGGCAGGATGACCGGTCGCACCTATGAGGACACAGTGCAGATACTTATAAAATCCTTAAAGAATGCTGAGGTGAGCAGAATTATTTGTACTTTCATGGCAAGACAAACAAATGATTGGTGGGGGGGGGGGGGGGGGGGGGAGATTGTGTCTATCAGTTAAGTCATCTGTTTCAGAAAGGAAAGGCATTTTGAAATTATTGGTTACTAATAAGAGTTTTGGTTGTTTACTCTACATTTTAAAAATAAATTTTAATATAATTGCTGTTTTCAAACAGTGCATGCATGGGAATTTTATGTACTTTATTCTTCCTCTTTTCACTGTGGCTCATTCATTGTTTGTACGTTTAATTACATTCTACCAGTGATTACCCCTTGCTGCCCATTAATGAAGTGTGACATATAAACCTCCACTTTGTCTACAGGCTCCTTATTGTTGTGCTGAGTTTGTGGTTGGCAGGTACCATGCTGTGGTTATCTCCTGCCTTCCAATCAAACAACTATTGTCCTTAGCTCTCCTCCTTTTTGTGTCGCTTTTTCATTCTCTTTTTTTTTGGCACTTTTATTACCTTGTTGTGTTGTGAGTGCCATGCCATAGAACGCTTTACTAAAACTTAAAATCTTCTCTTTTTCCTCATATGTCATTCTGTTGTAACATCTCTTTATCTTTAGCATTTATGTTGAGCTATTTGTGTTCCAATTGCCATAAAACTCTGTTCTGACTCTAGACTAAAGCTTTATGTCTTCCACTGGAAAGAGATGCACCATGACTTTGAGAAATTAGTTTTAATGTTGTTTTTTTCCCTTTTAAATGTCTACCTCCTTTGCCTATATTTGTCCAGTCCCAGGGCAGGTTTGAGATCATGCAGACCCTGGAGAAGCTGGTTTGTGGCTTAGGTTCAGCGGGTTCCCACACCCACAAGGACATCTACAAGGCATGTCGACAAGCTATGACTGACCGCGCCATGGCTGTGAGGCAGGCCGCTGCTCGGGTATGTCATTGACATGTTTTTCTAGTGCTTTAATTATTGAAAGATAGTTGAAGCTGTCATTTAGCAACTCTCTCTCTCTCTCTCTCTCTCTCTCTCACTCTCTCTCTCTCACTCTCTCTCTCTCTCACTCTCTCACTCTCATGCATGCACATAAATGCTCTCTATCTGTCTATATCCTCCCTACTCACTCTCACTTTTTTTTTCCCCTCTTTATTTCTGACTGTCTATTAGTCTCCCTTTCTCTCTTCGGGAATTGGTTTTGTGTTGTGAATGTCTGTCTTATTAACGAAAATATCTCGGTCTCTTTAATTTGCTTTCCTGTCTGTGTACCTGGCCTTCTCCTGTTCTGTCTTTGCTGGAATGTTGGGGGGTTACAGATTTGTTTTTGTGGGAAAGTTGGAAGTTGATTATTTTGCTTTCTATCATAGAATTCACCCTGTTTCTGTCACTTTTGTTTTGGAAGAAGTGGCAGAGGACAAGGAAAAGTTTTCCCTTCTCTCCCTATGACTTTTTCCTTCCCTCCGTTATCCCATGACTGTCAAAAAACTCTTTGTCAATGATCAATAACTTTTTTAATCCTCTTTGCTCACTTTCACATTCTTCCCGGACGTGTGTGTGTCCAGTGCATGCATGAGCTGGTCTCGGAGGCACCGTTCATGAGCACAACAGAGCTGGAGACAGTGGCCAACCTGTGTTTCAGGGCGCTGGACGGCTCTAACTACGACGCTCGCTGCACCATCGCCAAACTTCTGGGCAACCTAATGGCCACTGCACAGGCTCCCAAGCTCCCCGGAGGTGAGGCACACATTCTGTTGTCCAAATTACTTTAATGGATTGTGTATTTTTATAGAATTCTAATAAATATTCCTCTGATTAGACCAGCGTTCAAAGCATTAAATATTCGTACGATTAGACCAGTGTGTAAAGCAATAAATATTCCTACAATAAGATCGATGGGCAAAATAAGTCGTATATACTTTTTATTTTTAAACAGGCAGTCGGAGAGTTCCACTATTATGTTGTGCTATTCTTTTTATGTTTTTAGCTTGTGTGTTTTTCTTTTTTCCCAGCATTAAATAGCCATTATTATTCCAATATTCTTCTCTTTCAAACTCAAAACAAACGAATGCAGCTTTAGTGTAAGTGATCTATTCAACTGCTGTGAATAGATAAGTCACAATACAAAGATTCATTTGTTACTCAGGAATGAGAAGCAGTCAAACTCATGTTGAGAATAACAAAATTATTCAAATTCAGACTCAAGAAGTGTAAAGAAAAGAGTTTTTTAAAATTCATTCATTCATGAACTTTCTCTATATAATGGAATTTGTGTTACTGCCAAATGTACTATATTGTCATATTTGCCACAGCACCTAATTTACCAGCTGTGATTTCTTTCTCGTGTGTTTTCAGCCAAGACAAAACCTGCGCGGCTGGAGGATGTGCTGGCTGTGCTAGCCTCGGGCTTCATCAAGGGAACAATCGGAGGGTTCCTCAAGACCTCCACAGCGGGCGAGATGATCAAAGGATCGAATCCAGTCAACAGGGAGATCAGAGTGGGCATTACACATGTGAGTTCTTGGAGGATAGAGATCATTGGCGCAAAAAATATAGAAAACCCTTTTTGGGGGGAAAGTAATTCTGTCCTCAAGTTTCATCTCTTCACCAGCTTCTTGAGTTCCTAAAACGTTGTTGTGTACAAACACCACAAAATATCCACGCTTCTCATTGAGATGTAGATATTTGTAGAGTTTGGTAGATATTTGTAGAGTTTCTTCATTTCTTTTTGTCTTTTTTTTTCTTCTTCTCAACTGCATCGCACCTGTGACCTGTGGATGGTTGGTGGGTTCTCTTGTGTGGTTTGCTCCTTCTTTCCTATCAAACATTTATCGTCCTTATCTCTCCTCCTTCTTTTTTGTGTTTGTTTGTGACTCTGGTGTAACACCTCTAATCTTCAGCACTCATATGACCTTATTGTGTTGCAAATGGCCTAAAACTCATACTAAAACTAAAACTGTAACACCTCTATTCTTTGGCATTTATATATATATGTAATCTTATTGTGTTGCAAGTAAATGCCATAAAACTATTACCTAAAAACAAATAACCTGTGGCCAGGCGTACGTGGAGTTCATCAAGTGCATGGGAGGCCTGTGGCTGGAGCGCAACATCTCGGTGTTCCTGACCCACGTGCTGGAGCTGGTGGCCAACCCGCGGGCCACGCCTTCCCACGTGGACGCCGTCTACGCCCGCAAGTGTGTGCAGTTCATCATGCGCTCTGTCATCGGCGGGATGCTGGGGGAGAAGGCGCAGATCGCCGCCGCCAAGGAGATTTGTCAGGTCATCGTGAAGCAGATGAATACCGTTGGTGAGTGTCATACGAAGGTTGGGGTTGAGTAGTACCCTAGGTCATCATCTCCCTCGGGTTTTGGTTTTTGGCTTGGTTAGAAATACTTGGATAGGTGGAGGGGGAAGGATTGCTGCTGTATTCACTGGGACTACGAAACGTTTTTCTTACCATACAGGAGAGCTAAAATGTACCTCTGCTAATAATGCTTCCATATATAGAAACTTTGGTCTTAGGTTGGTATATTGTACACACCACTTGATAGTTTTTCCCAACTCTTTCTTGTACAAAAATGTATAGTATGCATTATTATCAGTGCTTTTAAAAATAGTATCTACAGTCTGTCTTCGTAGAGTGACAACTACAAAGCCTAATGCTCCTTTGGCTTTACTTTTTCTTTTGGTCGGATTATCTTTATTTTAATAATGCTATTCTCTTTTTGGCACGTTTTTGTCAAAACCTTCAGTGGTAGGACGATTGAGCTCCTGTAAGTTTCTCTCCACTTTTGGTGGTTAGACCAGCACTCATTTATTTTATTGACATGAGTATAAGATTGTTGGCGAATGAATACAACCGAATTTAGTACGAATAATAGACTCTGTATTACAAAACAGCTGTTTACTTTGAAACGAGTCACTTCAAGTAATTAAAACATGTTGAGTTAGATGACTGTTAATTAACTCTGTTTGGGAATTCATTGTATTTGTTTTTTTTCTCACAGGAGAGGCAGCTGTAGAGGCCTCAGAGGGCAAAGGTCAGGCCTCGGAGCTGACTGCCAGCCAACATGTCCTGGTGTGTGCACTTCACGAGCTGGGCTGTTTGGTGCTGCGTCTGGGCACCTCCGCCAGCCCCCTGGTGGCCGAGCCTGCTACAGGTCAGTAGAAGTATGATAAGACATACTTCATCAATCCTCCACTGGAAGAAATTGACAGTGTGCTTTCACCAGCTTTTGCAAAATAAAATATGCACACATACCATTGTATCAACATATTCTCTCTCTCTCTCTCTCTCCCTCCCTCCCTCCCTCCCTCCCTCCCTCCCTCCCTCTCTCTCTCTCTCTCTCTCTCTCTCTCTCTCTCTCTCTCTCTCTCTCTCTCTCTCTCTCTCTCTCTCTCCTCCCCCCCTTCTTCTCTGCCTCTCTCTCCCTGTGTTGATGCTAAATGCTGATGTAGGGCTGACATTTTTTTAGGTTTTAACTCTCTCCGCATATATTCATATTGTGTTAAAGCGGCATAATCCATATCATATCTGGGGTTTTATTTGTTTGTTTGTTGTTGGGGGTTTTTTTGTTTGGTTTTTTTTTTTTAATGCCTCTTCGAAATCAGGGATTATCAGGGAAAACTTATGGTAATGACCTCCGTGTACGACATTTGCTCCCAGGAATCATCGAGCCAGTGGTGTCTGTCCTGATCCACCCGTCGCACGCCGCACGCCTCTCTGCATCATGGTGCTTGGCCAGCATCGCTGTGGCCCTCCCGTCCCAACTGACCCTGTTGCTCGACCGCTGCGTGGAGCGGATGGACAAGCTGCGGTCATCACCAGAGGCTGTAGCGGGTTATAGCAGCGCCCTGGCTGCTCTGCTAGGGGGTGTCTACCAGTGTGCGCTGGGTATACCACACTCCAAGGGAAAGGTTAGTAGTTCAATATGGGGTTTTACGGCGCTCGCAACTGCATAAGGTCACATGAACGCAGGGAAAGGTTAGAGGTAGTCATGATTACAGAAAGTTTCTGTCTGGTTTCCATTAAGATCGAAGAGGTGAAAAACCTGCTTTTCAACTCATTTTGCGCATGAAAGAATAAATATTAGATCTAGCGCTTGACTCAGTAGAAACTATTGTGTAATAGCCATGGCACACAGAAGATGTGAAATTGATTCCTGTGTGAGGAAGTGATTTTTTCAACTTTCTCCTGATGTTGGCAATGCTGTATCCCACAGAGTCCAGCCCTCATGAAATGATTGAAAATGTTCTGCGATAATCTGGAGTAGGTTCCTGACTTATGGTATTTTGTTATGTGTTGTCTCTGTGGTTTTGTTCATGTTTTTAAGAAATTTTGTGGAGGTAAACTCTCATGAGTGAGTAAGATCTATTTACGAAGGAACCATTAATGGTATTGACTCTTGTATCTCTCTATGTTTTTATGAAGCCCTGCTTGTCTCTTAGAGTGCTTTTTAAATGCAAATGTGTTCAGGAGAGTTTGATCATCACTTCTTATATGTTTTGTTTCAGCAAATCTTTAGCATAGCGGAGGAGCTGTTACGTACAGCCTCACAAAACAGTCGGCTGTCATTGCAGAGAACACAGTCAGGCTGGCTGTTGCTGGGAGCTCTGATGACTTTAGGTTTGTACCTTCAAAATGAGTGCATATTTTTTTTCTTTATAAAGTTTATCCTTTTGATCTGTTCTGTGCCTTGTGAATTGCCTTTCTGCTTTAGAAAAAAATCCTCAAAAAAACATCACTTTATTGTTTTGTGTATTTCTTTCTTCATTTTGCTTCAACATTCTGTCACAGCTGCTAGGATGAACCCAACAGCTCACCTAAGCATCTGTTAGTCTTTTCTTGATTCCTTTTTGTTTGCGTTTAGCATCTATTAATTTGTTTATGGGCTTTCGTATGACAAGAACTTCTCCTTCTTTTTTTAAAAACCCTACACTAAAGCATCACAACTATGTCTGTATGCTTCTCTTGCAAAATTATGCTGTTCTGTCATCTTTGTTTTCCCCCATCATTATTGTACTGAACAAACGTCTTTATTCTTGTTTTGCTGGCCCTTCATCATTGTATTGAACAGACAACTTTGCTCTTGTTCTTCAGGACCATCTGTGATCAAGAACCACCTCCCACGCATGTTGCTGCTGTGGAGGAACGCATTCCCGCGGTCGGTGAGGGAGCTGGAGTCGGAGAAAGTGCGCGGAGAAGCCTTCACCTGGCAGGTCACGCTCGAGGGGCGGGCTGGTGCATTGGGAGGTCAGTGAACTGCATAGAAAATTGGGACTTTATATTACATGCTCTGTTTTGTTTGTGATGGTTTCTTTGGATATTTTATTAGGTTATTCTAGCTGTCAGGTGACTTGTAGATGTCTCAAAGGTATAGAAGGTAAAAAAGGTATTCCCTATAACAATATAGCCTGTTTGTTCAAGTTGTTGACAAGGGGAAGAAGTTGCTGGAAGTTGTGCTTGTTGTTTTTACAAGGAGTAGATTTTGAATACATTTGCAAGGGTGGCCACAAAGTAGGCTTAGTGGTGTTTTTTCATACAGCTGTCATTTTATTGAGAGGGGTGTTTTTTTGTTAGTTCTTTTGTCATGATTTTCAGGTCAAAGCAGTCTCGTCATCCAGCCTTTCTGAAAGTATTTACAAATACTGATTATGTTCACACCTTCTCTCTCTCTCTCTCTCTCTCTCTCTCTCTCTCT